TCTATCTATCATCTATCATCTATCTAATCTATCTATCTATCATCTATCTAATCTATCTATCTATCTATCTATCTATCTATCTATCATCTATTTATTGGGCTTTTTGAGGATTTCCCTGTAGCCCCAGTTGTCTTGGAACTTACCATGTAGACCAGGCTGGCCTTGAACTCACAGAGGTCTGCCTGCCTCTGTCTCTGCTGGGACTAAAGGCATGCGCCACCACACCTGGCCTATTTTTTATATTTCAGTGTAGCATCAATTTTGTAGTTATTGGGCTTTATTTTAATAATCAGATACAGAATTTGAGGCTGCAAGAAGTTTGTTCCCAAACTGTAGAGTAGGTTTCAGACTTCATTGTCAGTTCCAAACCTAGGCTTCTTCCTCTTCTTCAAGACTTTTCTGCCATGTTCCACTTGTCCTTGGAGACTGGGCCCACAAATCTTGGCACTCACTGGCCTTGTCTTACTGACCAACCTGTAGAAAGGAATGACATTGCCCTGCTTACTTAACACTTAAAACTTTTTTTTTCCTGGACACCGAACTGACATCTTATGATCTTGCCAGTTTTTCAAACAACGGGGCTTAGTTAAAGCAGCCTGACTTGTGTGAGACCCTGGTCATCCTTCCCAACAGACACCTGATACTGAACCATCGTGGTAGGAAAAGTACTGAATTGGGCATTGTAACTCTGGGCTCTGGTCTCAGTGTTGCCATGGGCTCCTCACTTCTCCCTTCTAGACCCACATTAATTCTTTATATAATTCAGGGTGCTGATGAACTGGAAGGCACCTTCCTTTAAGCCATAAAGCTTATCAGCACAGAATGGAGGGGAGCCTCTAGGCAAGTTTATTTGGATAAAGGGCAGATGCCAGAGTGCTGCTAGTTGTTTGGCTGTGGCTGCTAGAGACATGGGTGCTAAACTGTAGTGCCAATGATACAAAGGGGATCATTTACTAAATGCCACCTGTGAGCCTGCCACTAAGCTAAGCCTTTCATAAGCAACAACTAATTTAATCTCTCAATAATCCTCCAAAATAGACACTATTTTTTATCTTTTGTTTGCAGAAGAAAAACACAGGTTTAGGTGAAATTATTTGCCCAAAGTTATAAAGGAAATAAATGGTGGAATTGGAATTCAAATCCAAGTTCAAACCTGGTCCTCTATCCTCAGCGTTAAAACCAAACTGCTAGTCTAGTTGTCTAGTTGTCACCTCTTAGCACCTGATGGATAGGTACTTTAATCCCTGTGTAGATTTGTTTGTTTTGAGACAGAGTCTTCCAATGTAGTCCAGACTGGCCTGGAATTCCCTATGTAGCCCAGGCTGACTTTGAATTTGAGATTCTGCTTTACCTTCTTGAGTACTGGGTATTACAGGTGTGTGCCACCACACCTTGCTTCATATACTGTGTTTTAGGTGAGTTCTGGAACTCAGATCCTAGCTATTTTAGAGTGAAGGCAAACGTCTTAGTTTGTTTCTCCACTGCTGTGACAAAACACTCTGACCACTACCAACTTGGGGAGGAAAGGGTTTATTTATCTTACATCTCCCAGGTCACAGTTCATCAGGGAGCCCAAGATAGGAATTCAGGGAAGGAACCTGGAGGCAAGAGCTGGAACACAGACCATGGAGGAACACTGCTTACTGGCTTGCTCCCCTTGGGCTGGGCCCTCCCACATCACTCATCAAGAAGATGCCCCTCAGACATGGCCACAGGCCAGTCCCACAGAGGCAATTCCCCAAATGAGGTTCCCTCAACCCAGGTGTGTCAAGTTGACACTAAAGCTATCCAGCACAGAAAAGAACATTTTCCTGCTGGTTTTAAACTTTATATGATCTCTAGGCTAAGGGTGTGTCTCAGTGACAAGGCATGTGTTAAGCATGCCTGAGGCCCTAGATTTAATCGCCAGCATTAAAGTAATGCTAATAATAATCATCATCATAATAATCATAATTTCTAGAGCCATCCTCAATGGTTGCAAGTATAGTCTGATAAATGAACTATATTTCTCTTCATAAATCTCTGCCTCAGAGGTGCCCTCTCTGCTGACCCATGTCTGTTTTGGATCTAGGTGGGTGGAGTTGCTGACTGCCGGGGGCAGAACCTTGCACTGGTGCCAAGTGGCCTCCCATCTCATTCCTGGACGCTCATCCTGGATGCTAACCCTCTCAAGACCCTGTGGAATCATTCCCTCCAGGCCTACCCTCGCCTGGAGAACCTCAGCCTGCACAACTGTCACCTGGACCGTATTGGGCGCTATGCCTTCCAGGAGCAAGGCTACTTGCACAGCCTGGGCCTGGCTGACAACTCCCTTTCTGAGAACTACAAGGAGACAGCAGCTGCTCTGCACACCCTGCCAGGGCTACAGAAACTGGACTTGTCTGGAAACTTCCTGACGGAAGACATGGCAGCCCTGATGCTTCAGAACCTCTCCTCGCTGGAGGCTGTGTCCCTGGCAAGGAACACCCTCATGAGGCTTGATGAATCTATCTTTGAGGGCCTGCAGCACCTCAGGGACCTGGATTTGCAAAGAAATTACATCTTTGAGATCGAAGGTGGTGCTTTTGATGGATTGATTGAGCTGAGACATCTCAACCTGGCCTACAACAACCTCCCCTGTATTGTGGACTTCCGCCTCACACAGCTGCGCTTCCTCAATGTCAGCTACAACACCCTGGAGTGGTTCCTGGCAGCCAGGGAAGAGGCGGCCTTTGAGCTGGAGATGCTGGACCTGTCTCACAACCAGTTGCTCTTTTTCCCTCTGCTGCCCCAGTGTAGCAAGTTGCATACCCTCCTGCTACGGGACAATAACATGGGCTTCTACAGGGACCTGTATAACACCTCCTCACCTCAGGAGATGGTGGCCCAGTTCCTCCTTGTAGATGGCAATGTAACAAATATCACCACTGTCAACCTCTGGGAAGAATTTGCCTCCAGTGACCTGTCAGCTCTCCGCTTCTTGGACATGAGCCAGAACCAGTTCCAGTACCTGCCAGATGGCTTCCTAAAGAAAATACCTTTGCTTTCTCACCTGAACCTCAACCAAAACTGCCTGATGAAGCTCCATATTCAGGAGCATGAGCCCCCAGGAGCACTCACAGAGCTGGACCTGAGCCACAATCAGCTGGAGGAGCTGCGCCTGGCTCCAGGGCTCACTGGCTGCCTCAAAAACCTCCGTCTGTTCAACCTGAGCTCCAACCAGCTCCTGGGGATCCCCACTGGCCTTTTTGCCAATGCCAGTAACATCACTACAATTGACATAAGCCACAATCGGATCTCACTTTGTCCCCAGATAGCTCCCTTAGACTGGGTGGGGCCCTCCAATTGTGTGGATTTCAGGAATATGGCCTCTTTGAGGAGCCTCTCTCTGGAGGGCTGTGGGCTGAGAGCATTACAAGACTGCCCGTTCCAGGGGACCTCTCTCACACACTTAGACCTGTCTAGCAATTGGGGGGTTCTGAATGGAAGCATCACCCCTCTCTGGGATATAGCCCCTACCTTACAGGTCCTGTCTCTCAGGAACGTGGGCCTCAGTTCTGGGGTTGCAGAGTTGGATTTCTCTGAGTTTGGCAATCTGAGGGACTTGGATCTGTCAGGAAATTCCTTGACCAGCTTCCCAAGGTTCAGGGACAGCTTGGTTCTGCAGACTCTGGATCTCCGCCGAAATTTACTTACAGCCCTTCCCCAGAGGGCTATGTCTGAGCAGCTCCTGAGGCGTTTACAGACCATCTACCTCAGTCAGAATCCTTATGACTGCTGTCAGGTGGAGGGATGGGAGGCCCTAGAGCACTTAAAGACTGTCGCTGACTTGGCCATGGTCACTTGCAACCTCTCTGCCAAAGTCATTCGAGTGGTGGAGCTGCCTGGAGGCATTCCTCAGGACTGCAAGTGGGAGCGGGTAGACACAGGCCTGCTCTACCTGGTGCTCATTCTCCCCAGCTGCCTCACCCTGTTGGTGGCCTGCACTGTCATGTTCCTCACTTTCAAGAAGCCTCTGCTTCAGGTCATCAAGAGCCGCTGTCACTGGTCCTCCATATACTGACCTGTGCGACAGTTAGAAATTTGATCTTCTGTTTAAGGATGCTTTCTCGGCAGAAGCAGAGGCAGTGTGATGAGTTGAGGGTTAAATTGAAATTTAAAATGTTTCCATCCCTTAGTCCCATTAAGTTCCTCCACCCTGTGATTTATCCTCATCATCCTGGTGAAATATTTATTAAGTGACGTTCTATGAGAATAAAAGATATGTCTCATAAATGCTTTTTGAATCAAATGCAGCTTGCGTTCATTCTTTTTCTATATGTCCTTCAGTGTCTTCTCATGAATTATTTTTCAATGGTCTCTCTTCAGTGACATCCATGGAGGTGGGAGGGTGGCGGTTTAATGCTATCCTACAGCAAACACAACTTCTGTTGCATATCCCAGCAAGATGGGAGCCAGCATCCTGGGGATTCACCCAGGACAAGAGTTCCAAGGTATAGCTGGAAGGTCTGGCACCAGATGTGAACTGTCTCCTTTGGTAATGGTTGCTTGGTAGTACAGTGAGAAAGGACCTATGGCAGGATGCTCTCTAGGACTTGGGTTCATGTCTGGAGTCTCTGGCAGACACATGATCCTTCCATGGACAAGATAAAAGAACAAAAACTAGGCCCTGAGTCCATCCTCTCAGTGAACTGAACCCCAGGCACAGTGCTTGTTCTGAAGTCAAGAAGAATGCAGAAAGAATTGTCTGCTAACCTGTGGACTCCCTCCCTCTGTAAACATCACAAGTTAGCAATGTTCTACTCACTAACTTCCTAACATCCCTTTCTTCTTCCACTCCTAAGAACAGCAGAAAATTCCTGTGTTGCTCTCTGGGGAAAAATATAAAGACACAGTCCTTACCTTTTGATAACTGAGAATTTGCACTGTCATTGCTTTTTATCTCCACTTATTGAGTCATAAAGCAATTACATGAAGTGGCAAAAGGGCAACTGAGAGAATACAGAAACCTACAGAAACCGCGCAGAGGAATGTCAGCAGAAAGCAGAGCGAATAAAAGGCACGGTCTTTACTTGGCAAAGCAGAAATTTCCCTTGAATGCTCTTCCTAGCTGTCTCAGTAAGGCTCCTTGTCCCATAGCATGGATTGAAACCCTTAGGCAGCATTAGGTTTTGCCCTTACTTCAATTCCACCTTTCCTACCTCAGTATACCCTGCTCTTCCCCTGCCTAGTGCCTAGTGCCTCTGTGTCCCTCAGCCTGTTTTGAAGCCTCTCTGCAATCCTTTTTTTTTTTTTTTTTTTTTCCAGTCTGTTTGAGACAGGGTCTCCCTGTAGCCCCTGCTGGCCTGGAACTCACTATGTAGACCAGTCTGGCCTTGAACTCACAGAGATCCGCCTGCCTCTGCCTCCCAAGTCCTGGGACTAAAGGAGAGCACCACTATACCTGGTGCCTCTCTCCAATCCTTATCGGCAAGCTCTCTCAGTTGCTGCTCACAAAACCGGACTCTCATACTGTCCCTATTAATAAGACCCTTTCCTTGGGGTCCTGCTATTTTCCAAAGTGACAACCAACTACTTAGACAAAGTGGTGGGGCTGGACTTTAGTATGCCACTCTTGTGTTAGTTGGTATGTTTAGTATCTCACCACTAAAAGGGATCCTGCCTTTTAGGGATTCTCCAGGGATTTTGCAAAAGGATCCTGGGAAATTGAACTCTGGGGAAGCAGAGGAGCAATCTTGGAAAGAAGGAAGGAACAGGGGATGGAAAGTCACAACTGGGACATTATAAACTGTGCCAGAAACAATGATTCTGAGGATGTGGCTGCAGCTAGCTCTCAATCTAGATTCCACAGTTCACACTGTTGCCACAGCTGCAAGGTCATTGTCGCTGCCGCTAGCTACTGCCATATAAATGCTCCCCAAATTCTCTTGTGCCACTAGCTGATGTACAGCCTGGAGCAAATGCGCATCTGGTCCTGGGCCCCTGCCTGGCTGCCAGCAGGATGGGGTCCCCTATGCTGTGCCTCTGGGTGAAGAGGGCTCTGTTTCCTGTGGATGCTGATATTGGGCAGTCTCCGAACATGAGAAAGGAAGGAAGATGATGAACCAAAAGAGTACCCACAAAGCACTATGCCTTTTTTAGCAACACATACATTTTAGCAGACTTCTAGAAGCAAATTCCTACCATAATGGAGTGACTCAAATAAAGGAAACCACACAGAAGCTCAGCCCAGCAGGGAGACCGTTGGGGTCTGTCAGGCGTTTTGAAGCTCCACAACTCATATGCAGCTGCCCCGACCTCTGCTGTTCTTAGGGCCCAACCTGGCAGGACTGAGGAGTGAGACATTAGGACAGAACCTGATCCCTGCTGGTAGCATTGGTTTCTGAAGACTGTGACTGTTCTGGATTACTCCATCACTAAGGTTTGAAGGCCTCTTTCTAGGTTTCTTTCAGTGTGGTAAGAAGGCTGGGTAGGACATATGGATTTCTTTTAATTTTAATTATGTGTATGCGTGTGTGTCCCTCTGTGTGGGTGTGTGCATGTGATTGCTGCAGTCCAAGGAGGCCAGAGGGCAGATGGCCTGGAACTAGAGTTACAGTGGCTGTGAGCTCTCTGACGTGGGTACTGGGAACCAAACTCAGGTCCTCTGTAAGAGCAGTATGTCCTTTTAACTTCTGAGCCATCTTGCCAGTTCTCTGAACAGGGAGATTCTGTCTCTAGTTCAATCTATGGTTTCTTCCAGCAAATTCTGTATCTTTGTCCTACTTTGTCCATCCTACCTCCACCTACCTTTCCTAAGGGTACACTCTAATATCCTCTCAGGAGGCACTGGAGAAGAATTGAAGAGCCTGAAACCACAGTTCTCTGGTGGGATCCAAATGGCTGTTTGCCTGGATCTTCCGACAGACTGTGGGTGGGAAGTTGCCACATTCCAGAATACTCAGATGGGAATGTTCAGAATCCAAGATAATATTGGAGGCTTGTTTGTTAGCATGAGTAACAGTAATTCAGATTTTAACAATCTAGTCATAAAACTTAGAGTCTTCCTAAGGGTATAACGTAAGTTATTAGAAATCAGCTGATTTGGGGGGATAGCTCTCAGTTGCGAGGAATTAATAAAGTATAACCCTTAGTTCATATGCATCTGGTCACCATTTATCCATCTATGGCCCACGTTTATTTCCTCTTCAACTCTAGATCTAAGGTCCACCCTGCCTGGGCAATTTGGCTGATTTGGCTAAATAGGAGCCCCAGTAGATTAGAGGGGAGGAAAGGGAGGTCAGGGCTTTTACTCCCCTGACTTCACCCTCTGGATTTGTGTCAAGCTGTCTGTACCTAGCAACTAGAGCTTACACTCCTCTCAGGTAATCTGTTATACACAAATCTCTGCCTGGGGGGTGGGGTCTAGGAATCACTCATTCCTCTGGTCCTTCCCCTGTGCACCTAGGGATGTGTAGCAGCTTTGAGTCCCCAGCCCTGTGTATCCTTTGTGGGATGTATTTCCCTAACTGCCCCTTTGTAAATGGTCCCTTTGGAATTCCTCCTGGAGATGTCCTTGGTTGAATGTATTATCTGGTTCTTACTGGGACCTTACTGGGACCCCGAGTGATGCAGTCCCATGTTTAGTAATATTAGCCAGGGAAATCCTAACACTTGTATCTGGAGGTCACAGGATGCTAAGAAGGCAGCCAGAGCTGGGAAGGCCAACCCCCAAAGATGGCATCCCTCTGACTTACTATGGGTGGACATGAGGAAGGAGGTGGTTATTGAGTGAGATGGCATAGTACAAGTATATTTAGACTTTACCCAAATTACAGTGGCAGATGTTTTCAGCCAAAAGAGTGTGGGTGTTGTGTTGAGAAGTAGATCAGGGGGCTAGGAAATAGATGTTATTAAAAAAAAATACTCCTTTAGGACTGGAGAGAAGGTTCAGTGGTTAAGAGCACTGGCTGCTCTTGCAGAGGATTCAGGTTCAATTCCCAGCACCGACATGGTAGCTAACAACTGCCTGTAACTCCAGTTCCAGGGGATCATTCTCTTCTGACCTCCAAGGGCATTGGGTGATATGAGTGCATTTACATACATGCAGGCAATACACTTATACACATAAGATTTTTAAAAATTCCTTCTAACTCAATAAAAATTTTAAAAAACTCCTAGATCATGTTTCTGTAATATACAAAGTGATTTACTTTTCAAATGTATTATTTTTATTTTCTATGTATAAGTGTTTTGCTTGCATGTATGTTTACTATATGCATGAAATGCCAGTGGAAGCCAGAAGATGGTGTCATATCCTCTAGAACTGGAGTTATAGATGGTCACTAGCTGCTCATATGGGTGCTCGGAACTGAATCTGGATCCTTTGCAAAAATAGCAAGTGTTCTTACCTGTCCAGCCATCTCACCAATCCTGGAACTTAGATTTAAATGTGTGTGTGTGTGTGTGTGTGTGTGTGTGTGTGTGTGTGTTGAAAGTAGAAGGGGCCTAAAGGTCTAAGAAGAGGGAGAAGACAAGAGATGGTAATGGGGTGAAAGAACAACAGAAAGTATGTGATTATATTTGGAACCTAAATATTTATATATCAAAAAAAAAGAAAGTAAAAAAGTCAGAGCAGTTGTAGAAAAAAGTGTATTTTTTTTTAAACCAGGGCAATACTATTATTCATAGCAACTTGACTCCTCAAACCCAGGTTCACCCTGCATGTTCCAAGTTGCTTTCTGTGGGGTTTCAGCATAGAGATTGGGCTGTCGCATTGTTCAATGAAATCAGTGACAGCAGCATTGTTGGAAACGCAGTGGGAAATTTCAGGACAAAATGAAACACTGGACTGCAGTAAAATAATGCCGACTTGGAGCTGAAGAGATGGCTCAGTGGTTAAGGGCACTTGCTGGAGCTGTTCTTGGAGATTTGGTTCTTAGCACCCACATAGTAGCTCACCAGTACCTCCAAAGGCACCAGACACACAAGTGGTTGTACATACACATATGAGCAGGCATTCACACATACACATTGAAAAAGAAAGTCAACTTTCCGGTCATCTCCTTCATCACCCACAACTGCAATACTTCTTTTTGTGCTAATGCTCTGGATGATTTCACTTAATCTCAGGGAAACCCTAGGTTGAAGGCAGTTAAGATTTGCTGAAAGTCATACAGAACTGTGGTCAACCCACCATTCTTTATCAAATCTATCACCTCAGCCTGGGTGGTTAGTGACTGCTGAACATCATGTTTGATAATTAAATGGCAATTGTGGAGAAGGTTCAAGTGGGGCACAAGACCC